TACTCGTTCTTTGCGCTTGTTTTTTGTATGCATTTGCATACTCAGATGTTAGCAATTTGTGATTATAAACTTGCAATTTTTTCCTTCTTTAACATAATTATATTTTAAATTCAAGCAAAAACGTGAGATTCTCACTGTTGGGCGTAAAAAAATAATTTTCGCTCCAACTTTTGCGTTTTCACGTGACTAATTGAGAAGAGGCTCCTCCTACAAGAACTTCCATCCATTGCAATTTGCTTATTCATTTTTTCAAAACATTAGGTTCTGTGACGAAGCTACTAGCGCCCTTGATAGCACAACGGAGGCCGAGATATTAAATGCTCTGAAATCCCTTGCGAATAATCGCACTGCAATATTTATTGCCCACAGGCTCACAACAGCAATGCAGTGCGATGAGGTACGTATTCTGCATTATTATTAAATGTGTGTGTTTACACAATATTGATCTATGTGTGTGTGTATATATTATATATCTATATATCTATTATTATGTTTGAAGAACAAGCAAGATTATGATATCAAAACGGTTTAAATGTCTTTACACAACGTTAAAACACGAGACGAAAGTTGAAACAACTCATTTTATTATGGTATAATATTAATACACTGTTTTCATCGATATGCTCTCATTTAGCCTTACTATGTTAATGTCAGATTGTAGTTTTGGAGAATGGACGAGTGGTCGAACAGGGCCCACACGACGTTCTATTGTCAAAGATGGGCAGATATTTTCAGCTGTGGTCGCAGCAGAATTCAACTGTCGATACTCTCGATGCAGCTATCACCACGAAAGCATGAGTATACATATTTAGATTTTTCGGTTACATTAAAATCTTCGGTCTTTCATCATTTGACTGAATCTGAAGGGTACTTTTGTATCTGACTTGTGTTTTCGGATTCTCCAAGAACGGAATCTTTAACTTGTGCAGGTGCCAGTTTCATCGTAACTTGTTCAGGTTCGTTGCCGATAAATCTTATGGCGCGAATCGGCTGTGATAGTTATATACCGTTTATAATCAGCATATCATGGTAGGATAAAACAATTTCTCCTTTTATATCTTGCCTTAAATGGCAGGTTTAGTCAATGCAGGAATATACAGTGAATATTTACTGTTGAATGTAGCCCCCCTTTGAATCATATTCTCTTGAAGGGATAATAGTGCAGATCCGGAGCACTGTTTTAAGGTTATTAACTCAGTTTTTATAATATTTGTGAATAAAGAAAATTAAATAAATAGAACAAAGATTAGGGGGTGTCTATATGTACACCCCCTCAAGTGTAAAAAAGGGGTGTACATATAGCACTTTTCTTTGTGTAATTTATTAAAAGGGGGTGTACATATAGCATTGCCCCAAAGATTATTGTTATATATTATTGAAAACCTCCTTGTAGACAATACTTTTTGTCTTCTAGGCATACCATCCTCCCTGCAAATTAATATTTCATACCATCCTCCCTGCAAATTAATATTTCTAAGCCTTTTCGATTAGTGACACTGGAAACAACTACATACAACTGTTCGTGATTGAACATCGACTTCTTCAAGAACATGTCAACATGTGATAAAAAGTGACACAGAAACCATTAGGAGAAATATCTGTTGAAATTTAAAAGTACTATAAAGTAGGAAGGAGTTAGTCATTGGAGGTAACACATTATCTCATGAATTAGATCCAGTCAATATCATTCAAGCACATGAATAGAGAGCTTTGTGACAACCAATATCGTACCGTACAGTCAAGCACATGAGTACTAAAGTTATTATAATAAATTTTGAATATTAATGTTAATATTAGTATTAGTATTATTATTTATATCAAAGCACGAATTGCAATGAAATTAATTAAATCCACCTCCTCGTCATGAAATAGGATTTTCATGTAGTTTTTATATTAAATGCGAGCAATTATTCGAATTACCTGCAACATCAAGCATGGTTTATTTTTTCTTGAAATTTGCATTGGCAAACCGAATTTGCACTTCATGTTAAAAGTGTTGTAATTATCTAAAAGCAAAATTAAAAAGAATATTGAGCATGTGAGATATTACATGACTTGTCTATTCATTTATAGAATTAGTAAAAGGCTTAATTGAATTACATATTTGATTTGAAAATATTGCAAAAAGATAACTTATGGTCTAGAAATTGCATCAATTTAATTAATTTGTTTTATTTACTTATATTAAATTATATTTGATAATTTAAAATATAATTAATTTTAAAAAAATACTTATATATGTTGTAAGATTCTCCATTTACAATACTAATACGTTTTCTTGAGTAGATATGGAAATAAAAACTATTTATTTGTTAATAAAATTTCTGTCTTCACACTTTTCTTTATTTATTTATTTTTTATTTTTATTTTTTTTTTGCAAAAGATCGATTTATTTGAAAATATAATTTTTTGATATTGCAAAGTAATATCTCAATACACATTCTTTATTTGTAAATTGGTATCTATCACATATTTGGCAAAATAAATCTTTATATACAATTTGGTTATTTTAAATATCTGTAGACACACATAAAATATAAATTAAAATATTATTGTGTTATGGATCTGTATTAGTTAGGTATCTATATATAATAATTTCAGTCGATAATTTTGTATTTAGAGTTCATTTCATTATTTTCATAACTTTCGAACAAATTGTATTGATTTTATTCTATGCATTTTTTAAGCAAAAGATCGAAGTAATCTTCAGAATAGATTATATAGGTATAGATATAGAATACTGATATTACTTTGCATGCAATTATAATTGGTTTTTTTTTTTGTTATAGATATTTATTAGTTACGTTTTTATTTATGGTCAGTTGCATTTTTTGTTTAAAAAATCATAATAAATAAACAATTTAGTAAAAAAATTATAAGATATATTTAATTCATAATTATTTTATACAAAAAATACACAATATAGAATAAATAATTTGAAACAGATAATTCAAATAGCTTAAAAGTTTATCTCTTTTTAATTGTGGATATTTATTAGTTTTATTATCATTACGCAAATCAAATGATACACTTTTTTCCTAAAGTACCATAAAAAATCAGCTGTATTTACATGAATTGTATCTTAAAAAACAGCAGAAATTACATTCTTAATATTACCTTAATCAACTAGCCACAATTACATAAAAAAACGTGCGTACCGATTGTTGTCCGGCCTCCGGTTCGGTCGGTTGGACACGGCCGGTTCGTCCAGTTTCGTCGGTCGGACGAAAAAAAAAATTACTTCAGAAGAAGAGCTCATTTTGATGTGGAGAAAAAATAAGGAGGGCAAAATCGTCCAAGGGAGCGGTAACTAGTAATAGGGGCGGTGAATAGTAACACCCTAAAATATTTAAATAATTAGGAACATTTTTTTTTTCGGGAAATAGTTACTATTTTAAAAATAATTCAACCTTTTTATATAGATATAGATATGTTTTAATTATAAGTTTTTTTTTTTTTTTTGAAAAAAAATAATAGTTATAATTGTGTAGATAATAGTATCATATTATATAAAAAGTAGCATCATATATAATTTAAAATGGCATTATATATAGTTTTTATGGTTCTCACATTAAAATTTATTCTGAATAAAGTATACCATCATAGAGCTCTGGTGTAAGGTTAGATGATCATATTTTATCGACTATTATTCATATTTTTAAATTGAAATATTATATTTTTATATATATATAATTACTAGCTAATAGCAATTAATAAAACATATTTAATTTTACCTATGTGGCAATTTAACATTTTCCCTCCAAAAATCGTTACTTTTGTTGTATTTAATTTTTCATTTAATTATTAAATATTCAACACTCATCACTTCAAAATTACAAAAAAACATTTTAAACTTTTTACTAATGACAGTTGACCATATAATGAATTGATCGTATAATGTCAGTAGATGTTATTATTGTAGTTACATTTAAATTATTATTTTTAAATAAAAAATGTATTTAAAATTCCTAAATAAATAATAAATAATTCACAAAAAAGTCTTACAAAATATACATTACATCCAATCAGATAAACGCAGTTTAATAAAAAATATTCCCATTCCTTTAATTGTAAATTTAGCCTGCAAAAAAAGTGTAAAAATAATTAATCATTATGCATATAAATAACTCACAATATTTTATTTACATCTGTGCAAATGCACATGGTCGAATACTAGTATCAATAAAAGTATGATATTTTGTAATTAAGTATGCATTTATGTTAAAAAAATATGAGAAATGTGAATCGGTAGCCCCTCACATAAAAATTTAATGCTTTCTACAATATTGTTATAATAAAAATCGTACAATGCTTCACTATCCTAATCCTGATAAAAATTAAATTTGTAATTAAAATTCTACCTATTAAATTATAGGAAGATGTTACGGTTTCGTTACGGAACCATTTTATCGGGATTTATAACTGTTAAGTCAACTATCTCTGTCGGTTACCTGATAATCTAACGGTTACAAATCCCGGCATAATAGTCCCGTAACCGAACCTTAACATTTTCCATAATTATACATTATATATATAGTTGATTGGATGAATAGTTTTTTTGTTAATTTAAAAATATATTGATAGTTACTTTTTATAATTATGTTTATGAGAGTGTAGAAAAATAATATTTTAAAATAACTAAATATTTTTTACGAATATAAAGTTTTATTTTTGAGTTTAGTAAAAATAAAATCTAATAGTATTATTTTTCATCCAATCGCCAAGCGGAAACTCAGAGAGAGGTTGAACTTTTTTACTGCAGTTGGCACTGTAACATTATTCCACAAAACGTACTGTAATTATTACCGCCTTTTCCCTCGGCTGTTTTGACACACTTCCATTGCCGCCGCAAAACCACCGTCGATCAGATGAGATCATCAATACTCCACAACGCCGGCCGACAGTGTGAATCAATTCGGTGAAAAGTACAATCCGAAGAGTATATATCTATAATCAGAGGAGGAAAACAAGGTCACGATCCTAAATCCGGCGGGTATAATATGGCTTACCGGCGGAGACAGCAAGTTGCATTTGCCGCCGGCTCAGACTCTTCATCTTCCGCCTCCTCCCTGGCCGCCAAAGCCATCGGAGCTTCATCGGCGCGCAGAGACTATTCCCTTTCCTCCGTCTACGAACAGTCGGCCCTCTCTTCTCCACGCGCCTCTACTCCTTCGTCTGCCAAGGTTTACTTTAGTTTTCTTTTTCCCCCTATTTCCGCTGCTGATTTTTTGGTATGCTACAGAATGAGTATCTGTCTCTGCTTTATTAATTATGATGTATCTATGAAGCTGCAGTTAATTGATCGGCAACCTTTTCAGTATAAGATTTTGTGTTCTCATAAGAAGTTGTGTATTACTGATTGCTTGAAGTTTTGTTCAGGTATACATTTCTGGACTTAAGTTAGAGGTGGAATTGCATGATGACTGGCTGAATTACTGATGTCTTCTGTATTTGGATTTTATACTTTAGGATTTGAACAAGTGATTAGGTGGTGTATGATGTAGGATGCGATTTTGACCGATGATGTCGATTATTGTGTCCAGTGTTTGTGGTTTTCTGTGTAAAAAAAGGTTTGGTAGAAGAGTGCAGTGATTTGTCTGCCATGGGTATCTTGGACTCAGAGGGAGGACCCAAAGGAGTTTCAGATTTGTTGTTAATGTTTTTTTGTTTGTGCCTGTTATTTTGTAACTTAAATCTGGAGATGGAACTCCTATTACATGAGTTTTATTTCAAGTTATTTTAGTCATGACTGGTTCTTCAGGCTTGTCATCTAAGGTTCTTTGTTTTATGCCTATTATTTTCTAACTTTAATTTGAATATGTAATTTCGATTACATGAGTTCTATTTCAAGTTATTTTAGTCGTGTCTGGTTCATGGGTTTAAAGGGTTTGATCAGTCATCTTTCGGTTCATGGCGCGGGTTCGCATGAGAATTGGTGGTTTTTGACTGTGATTTAATCTTAGTTTCCATATTCACATTGTTGAGTGATGCCCTCAGGTGTACCTATTAGGTCGCTGTTGGTGTAGCTGTGTTTAAAAGTATTTTATGTGCTTTAAAAATGTATCGTCCTTGTCGTCGGTTTACTGATAATACTGAGACATTTGGGTTGAAGGAAGTAATTTACATTGCTCAAAGTTGATCCTTCTGGCATTGAAATAATGATTTTCTATATTTTCTTTCGAGAAGAAAATGGTGAAGAAGCTGCATCTCTGTCTCTGGAGTTATCAATTAAGATATTGTATATGAGCTACCATAGGGCACAGAGTCTGTCTCTATGCAGACTGGGTTATCCTGAATCTTTCTTGGCTGTTGACTGTGTAATTTTTGGATTTAGAGGATGCATCTGAATTCTGACATATCAGTTGAATTATAATTAAATTTTTCTGTATGGCTCCTTTTGATTTATTTGTAAGTTGTTTCATGCATATAGTAGAAAGAAGTGTATCTAACTAAATATATTTCAATTGAATTCTGGTTCCATTCTAATAGTACGTGGAAGATTGGAAGTTACTGAAGTTAATAATTTTTATTTTTATGAATGTAGGATTCTACCACATATGACTATACATCAAAGAAGGGTGTGGATGAGTCGAAGCAAGGGTTCTGGGGGTTTTCCAGGAAAGACAAATCCCTTCTTGATGATGATGATAATATTGAGCAACGTCAAACACCTGGAGGGACAATACCTCAGACATCTAATAAAAGCAAAAAGAGTCGGGTGTGAATTTTTTTCATTTTATTTTACTTGTATCCGTCAATAGTTTGGCCATATTTGAAATCATGAATTGTATTCTACTTTAAATATGAAGGAGTTTCGGTAATGATTTCTTTCAATAATTACTCTGGTTTACAAAATTTCCTCTACCATAGAACTTACCTTAAAATATAATTTCCTTTCATTTTGCAGTACCATAACACATATGACTATCCAGAAAGGCGACCAAAGACAGACGGCCCTGCGTTACAGAAGGGACTAGATGCAATTGCATCATCGCTAAATTACGTTGGTAATGCTCTAGAGGTAATGTCTGTGTGCTATCCCTGTTTTTTTTTTTTTTTT